TCTCTCTCTCTCTCTCACTCTCTCTCTCTCTCTCTCTCTCTCTCTCTCTCTCTCTCTCTCTCTCATTCACGAGCTGCCACATCATTATGTGCTAAAAGATATCCTAATGGTTGTTCTCAGTTGTTTTGTATTCTAACCTAATGCAGGGAGTCCACCAGTTGTGCAACAAGTTGAAGTGTGTTCCCTGTCTCCTGGGTGGTATCAAGTGAAAGAAATTGTTTTATTCTGAAATAAAAACAGCAAATACTGAGGTTTAATAGCCTCTGTGGAAAGAGGGACTGTTAGCATTTCAGATCTGATCTTTCACTCGACTGAGTATAGTTGAAACGTAACAAGCCTGTTGAGAAAGTGAAAGGTCGAAGAGTGTGAAGAACAGAAGGTCAATGGGTAGAGTGAAAGGTGAAGGATTAATTGACACAGGACTTGCGTGCAAAGCGCTGTACCTTGGAATTCTGCACAGCTTCTGTTTTAAGTAGTACATTACTTTTATTTTATGCCAAAATGAACAATTTCACATTTGGTTGCATCCTACTCTCTGCCAGATTGCAATGCTCTTAATCAACCCAACTATTTCCATCCGTAAAGCTCCTTATGTCCTTTTCACAAGATAGCTTTCCTACCTATCATTGTTATCTGCAAATTTAGCTACAGTGGATGAGGGGAGATAATGCAAGTTTTTCCCTGAAAATTGTAAATAGCTGAGGTGTAACAAAATAGCTGTAGGAGGTTAGTCAGCTTTTAGTGAATAAAGGTTCACATTCCTATCCCTAGAGCTGGAGACCCAAGTCAAGGAAGGGAAGACTTCCTCAGTCAGGTCAGGTGAAGGCAAGCAAATACTTTAGTGAAAACTATAAATTTGAATGGTTATGTTTATAATTACAATTTATGTAGGAAAGATTCCAAACCATGAGACCAATGTCACTTAAGATGATAAACAAGAGAACCAAGTATGTGATGCCAAAAGGAGCTTCCCAAAAGGCAGCTTTGCCTGCTTTAGTTATTAAGGGTCAGGTTTGAATCGGTTTAGTTCCTGTAAGTCTGTGAAATTTACCTACTGTGTTGTATTTGTAAGCAGCTGACTGTGTCAATTAAAATGCGACCTTTTTATATATTTTCCATGTCACTAAATGCGCCATTTGTGTGCCCAAGGAGCATGATGTTTTGAAAATACTCTGCAGCTTGCTACATACAGTTCTAGTTGCAGTTCCATAAGGATCTGGAAGTCCACTATAGTTCAGAAAAATTTAGATATTATGATCGCTATGAAGACCAATGACATTTAGGAAAGGAGTTTTCAGTGCTTGATGGGTGGAATCATATGACATTACTTTACTTTAAATTCTAAAAGCAATTTTGGAATAAGAAACTAAAACTAATTTTAATTAAAAGCTATTTTTGAAAATATTTTCTCCCTAAGACAAGAGAGAAACTTTCCTTTTTTAACTTTTAAACATCACTAAAAATTGCTGTTATGATTATACTTTTATATTGATCCTTATGTGGACACTTTTTTTTTTTTTCTGGGAATCAGTCCAGAACTATTTTCCACTTCTGATGGCCTGCTGTTTTTCCTTGTTTGGATAAATTCTAATCCCAGTTCTAACTTTCTTGGTGATGGTGACCTTGGAGATTTCTCCCTCTAACCAAAACTAGGCAACTCTTCCAAACATTTCATAAAAGTTTTAAGGTCGTCTGGATGCCTTTTAAGTTTGAATATTTCCCCTTAACCAGCACGATCCTTCATTAAAAGAATGACAACCTCACAACGACTCTATATTTTGAAATTTCACTTTTTACTGTTTTTGAAGTGGGATAGTTTACTGGTACTACAATAACGTATTTCACTGTGGTTTTACTTGTTGTCTTAATATGTTCTAAGGCACATTCCTGGTGGAACACATTTGGACTAATAATCCACTGGCAATTGCAACAATTCTTAGTATATTTTGGTGTGGAAGTTGGAGGTCTCCACAATTAACTTGTTAATGCACTTGACTAGTTTGAAAAATACTGGGATCCTGTATACAAACTAGACAATACGTACTAATTTCTGCAGGTGCTCTACCTACAGTAATAGCTTTTGACAGGTGACTGCTGTCTGAAGTGAATGGTACCTTGCATTTCCAGTGTGATACTAGTATGGTCTTAATGCTGGGCATGCTTGAATAGTGGCACTAGAAGCTGTTGCACCGTCTGCCTTTTCTTTTATGTAGTCTAGTCTGGAGATCCAAAGTTTCAAATGGAGTGTGCAAAGTCATCTGACACTTTTTTTTTTTTGAGAATGCTTAATTGCTCTTTAGAAGTACTGTTAAATCCACACCATGTCTGCTTGGTCTAGTAATTCAGATAGCTTTTAATGATTCCCATAGCATTGTTGAAAAGAGGATAATCGTGAACTGTGTTACTTAGTTGCTGCTTCTTTCTTAGGTGCCAGTTTGTTCTTGGTTCCATCTGAGGAACACGAGGTACATCAAACTGTACGGAACCTCCAGCTGAATGATTCTGGATTATCCGATGAAGAAATGGCTGTCTCCGTTAAAACTGATGATACCAGCCGCACCAGTATTTCTTCATCTTCTGTGAATGAAGTGGACATCCACAGCTTTGTGGAGAGCAGTCAGAATACAACAGATACACCAGATCAAGTTATTAGTGTTCAAAGGTAAGACTGTAATAAATTAAAACAATTATTTAAGTAACTTTCAAGCATGGAAATCATTTTGTCAGGAGACAATTGAACAATTTTTTAAAACTTGTGTGCATACCAATGTAATTTTTATTCTTGAAACTAAAAACTTCACCAGTGACCTGGACTTTGGCATAGACCTCCAATTAAGCTGAGAACAGCAAAAAGGTAGAATGACTTTAAAGCAACAGTAGTAAAGGATTCCCTTGGCTTGTGTTTCACTGTAAACTGTAGTGGAGGATGGTAGAGTGGTGGGAGAAGAGAGATCAGGTTGGGTTAGAGGAGGGGACATTGGTGAATGGGACAAGGCTAACCTTAAAAATATAAGCTTGTGGTTACAGATTTACACTTGCTATTTTTCTATATTTATTGTGCAAATATTTTAATCTAACTGCTTGTATATTTATCAAGTTTTGTAAACATGACCTGAATTTTTGCCCTGGAACTATTTTTTTAAATGTACCATTAGAAACCAGAGTTTGTCCATTTCCAATTTCAATTTTACCTTCTCTGTCATTTTGAGCATTTTGGAGTTGTTCTTGTTTGTTTCCATCTATTTTTATATACACCTAAAATTTGTGCATGGACTAATAACTTCTAATTTTGGTTAATATTTAGCTGTACACCTGAAGGTACAAAAAGCTGCTGGGAGTTTCATGTTGATTCTCTGAGTCCAATGCTTGGGGAGAGTGCAAGTACCTGTCTGAAAAGTAGCCCATCTGAAGTTCCACGTCATATGGATAATAACAAAACAGAGAAATATGATGTTAGCACAGAATCGCACAATAACTCTCCATTTCAAGATGAGAGAACATTTTACCAAAACTTAATGGTGAGCACTCAGTTGATATTAAGGTTTTGTTTGATGTCTCGGGATAATATGGATATCTTCTTTTTTTCCTTTTTGTGTTCATTGATATTTGAAAATGTAAAAATGCTAATAACATCCATGTATTAAATGTTGACCAATACCTAATATGTGTGCAAACTTAGTGTGTGTCAGGTAATTATGCACTTGAGTCTGATCCTGTCTTTTCCCAGTAACCACAGGTACTTTCAACATCATGTTAATCTGTCAGGAGTGGAAAGCCTGTTTTTGTTATTTTCTTTGCCCCTTCCCTTTCTATCCTCTCCCCTCCAGTGTTAGTGAAATTTAAAACTGTATAGAACCTTTATCTGTGGTACAAACTTGAGATGTTTAACTCGGTGTAGATGAAGGTTCACTCTGCAAACTTCTGATCTCTTTATTTTATTTTATTCCCCATGATCATTTTAGTAAGGGGAAAAACAGTTGCTGAAATAATAACTTGAGTTTACATTATGAATTAGTTACCTTTTTTTAGTACCTTTAAAAGTATCCTCTTAACAACAATTCTGAGTCCGTTATTGGTTTGGCAGTCAGATTTTACAGTCTGAAACAGAGGCTCGCTGACTTCTTGCTTGATTGATTTGCCACCTGCACTTTTTTTTTTTGATTCCCTCGAGTGAGGCTAGTTTTGATCACATGCTACGCAGGATCCTTCAGTGTAGTACAGAAGGCATTGTACTTGATTTTGTTTTGACGACTTGAAGATGTTGCATTAGGATCAAGTTTGATTTTGCTTGTACATCATTATGCAAACCAAATTAATTTGATAAACTGTAAAATCTGCCTGTTAAACCAAGGATGGACTGAGAGAATCCTGTTGGGTTTTTTAAGAGGATACTTTCATGGTAATAAGGTGAATAATTCAAAGTGCAAACTGAATTATTATTTCAGCAATCATTTTATCCCCTTGTTAAAATATTATCTGCATGGTAAACCATTATAGCAAAATTAGTGTAAAGATTACCTCAAATGTGTATTTAATACATAAAAATATTAACGTGAGCCAGGTTTGAATACATTTACTGTTTGTTTTCTAAAAGGGCCAGGTAAACCAACTATTAGAGTCATCTCCTGAAAAACAAAATGAAGTGGAGAATAAAGCTGCTGAATCAGAAATCTCTGTGCGGAGCAGTGACACTAGGAACAAACAATCTGAACGCCAGACCAGTCAGAAGGAAGACTATGATGTGTTGAGTGCAACTGTGAAACAGCTGAAGAAAATGGGAGTGAAAATTGATCTTGACTTTGCCAGCATGACCAAGAGCAAAATTGAAAATGCAAGGTACTGCTAATATGACAATGAAGGCATCTGTTTCTTAGAATATTCAGATGCTGCAAATGCTGGAGAGATTCAGGTCTGTGGAGGGAAAGATAACTTTTGAATGCATTGTCTTCAGAAGAAGAATCCAATTGGACTCAATATTAACTATTCCTCTCCCATAAATGCTACCAGACCTGCTGAATTTGTCCTTTTTTTTTTAAAAAGAGACAATTGGAGAAACTTCGAGCCATCAGAGAAGTTGGGCACATTAATGAAGGAAAAGCCCATTCATTTGAAGTGCAGTTTTTTTTTTGGTTTTAAAATGCTGATACTCTTACATTTTTTGCTTACTAATGATCCCCATGATGCAGTTAAAGGTCACTGTGATTGGGTTTTCTCTAGTTGGAGCTGGACATTGCTAGTGCTTCTGTGGTTCCGAATTTAATTTGTCAACACAAGCCTGATGAATATTCCGGTCCTGTTGAAGGCTGACATGGTCTGCTTGGTCATTTGATGAATTCCATACTGCGTTGAACAGTAAAGTATATTTTGTACAACCCTATACCAGACCATGTCGGCTGGAAATGAGAATCTCTGCTGCACTCTCCACTCTAGGGCAGGCAAAGGCCTAGTGATGTTATCATTTAGACTTTTTTTTTTCTACGGATCCATATAGTGTTCTGGATATTGGGTTTGAATCCCGCTATGAATGTTGGGATGTGAATTCTAATGAGAGTCTAAGAGTCTAATGATGACCATGAAACTGTCTGACAATTAACAACAAGCCCATCTGGATCACTAACGTCCTTTTTAGAGAGGGAATCTGCCATCCTTACCTTTTTTTTTTTTTTTTTGTCTGCCCTACACCCCAGACCTACAGCGATGTGGTTGACTCTCAATTGCCCTCCTGGGCAATGCCCACATCCATGAATGATCTTTTTAAAAATGGCAAGGGCAATGACTTCTTCTGAACACAGAACAACCTTGCTATCTTAGGAATGACTTTAGTCATTGAAGATTTTCCCTTCAACTACCATTGATCTTGGCTTAGTAAATGCCAATAAATAAAATTTATTCTCCTATGGTTTTTAAAAAAATAAGTTCCTGGTTCTTTGTGAACTTTTAATCCTATATCTGAGATTCTTGCCTCAGCTTAGTTCACTAGTAGCTTTCTGATCTGTGGGCTAAGTTTCTTTTTTGAATGTTCAAACCTCAACAGCGCTGGCTGATAATTCAGGCTGCAAGAGCGAGAGAGTGCTGAATGTTAAAGGTGCCTACCTTCAGATTTCATCTACCTGTTCAGGTTGACTATCAAAGAATAGGCAGTCTTTTCTACTTGGCATTCCTTTGTCAACCAATAGATTAACAGTTTGTGAAATGTCATTGGTGAAAAATGGATTTTGTGTTTACTAAAATAATGATCAGTTAAAAACTTTAGTTATTTTTATTAATTCACAATGTGCATGTTGCTGTCTAGGCATTACCTATCCCTCATTAACATTGAGAAGGTGATGGTGATCTGCCACCTTGTTCCAATGATGGAAAAAAGCATCACATCCCTAAATTTATGTCTAGTTGATGAGCATGGTAATGCCATACAGATGTGTATGTTAGTAAAGTTTTGTAACATTATTTTCTTGTTTTCAGCACGTTGGCTCGCATAAACCCTGAAGCAGTTATCCCAAGGTTGAACTACATGTCCTTCGTCAATGTTGGTGCAAGTGAACTTGGAGCTGCTGGAGTTGACCTTAGCATGGAGGCCAATGCTATCGCTCTGAAGTACTTGAATGATGCTCAGCTTTCCCAGATATCTCTCAGACATAGTGGTAATTGTGAATCAACATCCCCAAATAACTTACTGGAAATGAACACGGACAGAAGCATGGTAGGCCTGAGCCTAATTTCACCCAATAACATGTCATTTGCCACACGCAAATACATGAGGAGATATGGACTCATGGAAGAAGCATATAGCAGTGAAGAGGAGGATCGTTTGTCAGATTCTACTATACAGCCCATAAAATCTGATTCAGAAATTTTTTCTGCTAAAAAAGGAAGTTCTGAAAAAGTGGTTGACATCCAGCTTAAGAACTGTTGTACAGTAGAGTCTTTCTCCAAGGCAGATGGGAACATTCTTAGAAACATTACTAATGAAGTTGCTTCTTCAAAACCACAAAGTGTGGATACACAGGACCGACATTGTCAGCAGACTCAAAATAATTCAAAACCTAAAATGAATAAGTTTGCCGAAGAAGTCAGTTATATCCAAAACCCTGAAAAAGAAAATGGAATTGAACGAATTCCGGACTTTTCCAAGAAATTGAGACCAAATGTATTAGAGAAACACAAGTCTACAAAAAGCAGTGATGCAGTGGGCAACATTCTGGATGTAAATCGGCTCCGACAACTACCCAAACTGTTTTAATTAACCGGACTGTTGCAACATCTGATTTAAAAGCCAAAACATTTTCCAAAAAACAAACTATTTTGAAGACACCATTTTTCATACAAAAATGGTCAAGATTACACATAATGTATAGGTCAGTTAAATATTCAACTTTTAGTAAAGGATTGCATATGTAAAATGACAATATCACCAGTTATTAACTGGAAATTACAATGCAGTTGAAAGTCCATTGTAAATATTCTGGATAGCTCCTGCTATAACTTGTTTATATAACTTATGGGGTTTTTTTTGCTTGGCAGAAACTTGTGTAGTACGACTGTCTTGGGATTATAATCAGTGGATAAATATAGTTGTGTAGATTTTATACTGGCTAAGGTCAGTGACAAGCAAGCAATCGACTACAACAATAAACATGGAGACCTGCAATTCATACTGAGTTTGTTTGCTCAGTGAGTAATTCTAATTTCATGTTCCCATTCAGCATTTTTCTGCATTGTGACCTGTGGAGAACAAAATGAGAAGTAAATCTCCCTTAGAGCATGCTTCCAAAATTTCATAAGGCTTGCTTTGTCTGTACTTGACAATTAATTTTGAATTATTGCTGGATTGAAAACTCATAATTCTTTATATACAAAGCGCATGTAAAGTATCATGAATGTGTGATAATGCAAGACAAACCACACCATAAAGGGGAAGTGAATCTATAGTGTGGTATAAATGCAGTATCTTTCAGGTGGATTAGAGTTTATGACTGGGTAGGGAAGTAGGAAACTTGATGTCAACTCAAAAATGTGATTATTGGAGAAAGCTGTAGTTTTGACAATCCAATTTTGCTCCCCTCCACTAAATCGAAATTGCCAGTGAATGAATTCTTGTTTTTGATTGAAACATTTTGTAGCTTAAGTTTACAGAAATTCAAGGATATTCGTGTTTTCTTTACATTTCTGTGTGAGGTGTTTATCAATGTTTCAATTTGAGATTTGTGCTTTTGGTCAGTTTGTCGTACAGAACCATTAGATCAATTCGTACCTTTCTGTGACTTCTGCAAGTTATTTTGTTTAATCACTGGATTTTGTGGACCATTTATAAATAAAACATTGCATAATTTCTGCATATAGTGTTTCTTCACCATCTAAACCTATAATCATCACATTTTTCCTAATATTTTGTTTGTAATTGCACTGTTCATTTTTGACTAGCCTAATAGATGTCTTTAAGGATAATCTATCTTACTAATTTAACAGGTGTATTGAGTTTTAGTTGTACAAAGAACATTTTGGTGAACAAAATTGATCCAAGCTGAAGACGAAATGTCAATGCATAGACCAACATCAAGCACCAAAGACTGGTTTAGTGACTGGTGAAAGCAATTTTCTTTTAATTTAAAACTTGGAGCAAGGGAGGGTGTTTCAGTTTGGTTCACTTAGCATTCCCACCATCTGAGTCAGTGTGAGATATAATCTCAATTGACATATCAAAGCAATACTGAGGAAGTACCATTGCTGTGTCTCAGTAATACCCTTTCCTCTTTTTTGAGGCGCATTAGAAACTGGAATACAATTTTAGGTTGTACTCCATTGTAGAACTGAGGGAATGCAGTATTGTAAGATGATAGCTTAAGAGAAAGGTCCAATAACATCTTTTTGGCGATTTTTAAAATATGCCACAACAATGTTTTGAAGAGCAGTAGAATTCTACCCAGCGCCTTGCCAACATTTAGACCGTGATCAACATTTGTATTTTAATTAATCATGTTGCTGTTATATTGCTGTAAGTGGAATCTTGCCATGTAACTTAGTTGCTGCATTTCCTCCATGACTGTGATTGTGTTTATACTTTTGAAGTGCCTTATGACTAAAGTATTTAGATGTTCTGAGGTAGTGAAAGATTCTGCATAAGATTTTTTTTTTCTTTCTGGTAAAATATGCCAGTGAATGAAATTTAAAAAAAAAAAAACCAAGATCACTATTTGATATGAGAAATTTGTCTAATGCTTTCGCAAACATTCCTTCCTCTCACACCATTTAAAATCTATTTTATGGTCCTTCAATCACTTCCTGTATGTAGGACCATGCTATGTACAAACTCATTGCCATGATCATCTTTGTGACAACCGTTAGTGCAATTCAGCGGTAAGGATAGAAGTTGCTTTTGGAAATCCTGAGGAAATGCCTTTTTACTTTATTTTAAAGAAAGCTATTTTAATTCAGTTCTTGCATGATGGAATTGAGGCCATTTTAAGCAACTAATGATGTGGAGGTGCCAGTGTTAGACTGGGGTGGAGTATGTCAGAAGTCTCATGACACCCAGTTATAGTCCAACAGCTTCATTTGAAATCACCAAGCTTTTACAGCGTAGCCCCTTTGTCAGGTGGATAGTTCTATTGTGAGACAACTTTATATTTCTAGAGAAAGACTGGAGACTAAAAAGAAACAAGACTTCAGTCTTATCAAATGTTGCAGTTGTAAAAAGTTTTTTAATCTTCTCCTAAGTCTTAGGAAGTAATGCTTTATTTCCTTAATTCACAGATTCAGTATTTTACAGTGTACAGATACAAAAAGTGTGATGGAGCTTTATCAGTGGCATCTTTTTGATTATTGAGGAACTTGAGTAATTTTAGCAGTTGGACTTTGTTTAATGCAGACAGCTCATTGCTGTATTTAATCCTGTTTGTGGGCAGTTTGACAGTGGTTGGCAATTAGATAACCAGTTATGTCCATCTTCAATTGCCCTAGCATCTATAACTTTTTGAAGTAAGTTCTTGATTTCCACTGTCCTCCACACAGGGTAAAGTGCTGTTTGATTTCATTCCTGAATGCTCTAGGTCTGCCCTCCTCTGAATTCAGAGTGTCATGATAGCCAAGAGAGGATTGGTCAACTAACAGGAAACAGTAGGTGCAAGTGACTCATTCTCAGATTGACAAGTAGTGTGTCATGGATCAGTGCTTGGGCCTCAACTAATCATAATTTTTATTAATGACTTGGATGAAGGAACTGAATGTATGATTGCAAAGTTTGCTGATGACTGAAAGGAACACCAGTTATAATGGGAATGTGAGGAATCTGCTAAGGTTATAAACTAGTCCACTAGCGAGTAGACAAAAATTTTAGTAGATGGAGTATAATGTGGGGGGAAAAGTTGAACATATCCACTTTGGCAGGAAGAATTGAAAAGCAGTACACTATTTAAAATGGAGTTATGTAATCTAAGGGATCTGGATATCCTGCCCCATAAAACCAAGTCTGCTTTTGGATATGGTAACTGATTTATTTTGTCATTTATTGTAAGGAGAATAGAATGTTAAAAATAAGCATGTTTGCTTTTGTGTAAAATGTTTGTTTTGAGGCTACATCTGAAGTACTGTTTAGTTTTCATTTCCTTTTTATTTAGGAAAGGACGTAAATGCATTTGAGCAGTTCAAAAAAGGTTCACTCGACTGATAGATCAGCTAATGCCCTCGTCTCAAGTAAATTTGGGCATAGTAGGCCTATATTGGAGTTGAAAAGACTAAGGTGATATTACATAAGATCCTGAGAGGCATTGACAAGGTGGATGCTAAGAGGATCTTTTCTCCCCTTCTAGACGAGGCAAGAATTAGAGGAAACTGTTTGAAAATCTGAGATCTTCCATTTCAAGATTTGAGAATTTTCTTCTGAGAATCTTGAGTCATAGAACAGTACAGCTCTTTGGCCCACCATTTCAGTGCCATCCATGATGCCATTTTTAAATTAATCCCATCTGCTTGTACATGGTCGAGATCCCTCAATTGTCTGTCAAAATGCCTCTTAAACACTGCTATTATATCTGTTTCTACAATCTCCCCAACAGTGTGTCCCAGGTGCCACCCTTTTGTTTTTTTTTAAAAATAACTTTGCATCGCACATTTTTTTTTTTTAAAATTACCCCTCTCACTTTTTAAACCTATTCCCCCTAATATTTAACATTTGCCCCTGGGAAAAAGACTCCGACTATTCCACCCGATCCATGCCTCATGATTTTATATACTTCTATCAGGCTGCCTCTCCGCCTTTGACACTCTAGCAAATTCAAGTTCATCAAGCCTCTCCTTTTTTATAGCTGCTAGACTCCAATCCAGACAACCTCTTGGTAAACTTTTTCTCACCCTCTCCAAAGCTTCCTCATCCTTCCTGTGGTGACCAGAACTGCCCGCAATACTCCAAACATGGCCTAGCTAAAGTTTTTACACAGCTGCAACACGGCTTGCCAAATCTTTTATTCAATGGAGCCTTCTTTGCCACCATTTTTTAAACATGGCAACACAAGTTGATAGGGAGTTATGGATTTAGACCCCAAGATCCCTCTATGTTGTGGTTGGTTGGCTCTCCATTCATGCTCCATATTATTGCTCATCAGGGTCCTGCCATTACTGTACACTTTCCACTTGCATTTCACCTGCTTTATAGCAGAGTTCTCAGCACTGATTTTGTGTGGAGCACTACTGGTTACAGACCTTCAGTCAGAAAAATATCCCTCCACAACTACCCTCTGTATTCTATGACCAAGCCAATTTTGTATCTAACGCGCCAACTCACCATGGATCCTGTGTGATTTAATCTTCTAAACCAGCCAACCATGAGGAACCTTGTCAACTGCTTTAGTAAAGTCCATGTAAACAACTTCCACTGTTCTACCCTCATCAATCACTTCCACTTCTTGCTAAAGCTTGATCAAGTTGGTGAGACAAAATATTCTCATAATGGCATGCTGACTATCCCGAAAACGTCCATTCTTCTCCAAATGCGAGAAAATCCTGTCTCTAAGAGTTTTCTCCAATAATTTCCCCATCATTGATGTAAGATCACCAGCCTATTATTTCCTGATTATCCCTGTTGCCTTTCTTAAACAAAACAACAACAACCATTTGCCAGTCTTGTCGAACCTCTCCTGTGGCTAAAGAGGACACAAAGACCTTTGTCAAGACCCCAGCAATTTCCACCCTTGCCTCATTCAGTATCCTGGGATAGTTCCCATCAGGCCCTGATTTATCTATTTTACTGATTTTTTTTTTTTTTTTTTTTTTATTTTAAAAAGGCACCCAACAGTGCCATCTTTACGTCAACATGCCCTAGAACATCATATCCCTCCCTAATCTACCATCATCCATATCCGTCTCCTTGATGAATACTGAAATGAAGTACTCATTAAAGACCTCACCCACTTCCTCTGGCTCCAGGCATAAATTCCCTCCTTTGCCCTTTGATTGGGCCTACTATTTCCCTAGCTACTCACTTGTCCCTAATATACGTATAAAATGCCTTGGGATTCTCCTAAATTCTACTTGCCTAAGGACACTTTTGTCACCCCCTCTAGCCCTCCTAATTTTTTGTTTAAATTCTTTTCTGCTTCCTTTTGTACTCGAGCCTTGTTTGATTTCAGTCTTTGGAACTCCTTTTTTTGTCTGTAGAGAGCAGTGGAGGTAGATTCATTAAATTTCTCTTAAGACAAAAGTACATAATTCTTGATTAACAAGCGACTTGGAAGGTTATTGAAGGTAGATGGGAGTGTGGATTTCTCCATCTGATCAGCTGTGATTATTGAATGGCTTGTGAGAAATTCCAACAGCCAAATGGCCAACAGATCCTAAAATTTGTTTGCTATATTTAGGCAAGATCTGAGGAGTAATGTAGCATCAATCTTTCATTTGCCACATTCACTAAGTGCTCAGCTAGTTTTAAAAACTTCATCTGATGCCATGTGAATGTTATCAAACCTATGACATTACTTGTATATTAGAACTATAACTGTTACTGAATCAGTTTTTTTCATCTTTTAAACTGGATTTTTTTGTTTTTAAAAAACGTACCTGTGTGACCAAAAAAACATTTTATGGTATGGCAAAGAAGAAATAAAACCTCTTTCCTTGCAAAATATAAACTTGGAAATCATGAGTAAAAGTCTAGATGTAACAGCATTTTCTGAAAGGATGAGACTCCCAGCTTAAACATGAGTGAATAAAATGAATATGTTTGCATCTGCAACTTGAAAGTTGGTTAAAAATTCATGAAAGAATTTACTTCACATCTTTGAAACAAAGTTGCTGGAAAAGCTCAGCAGGTCTGGCAGCATCTGTGAAGTGCAAAAACAGTT